AGGGAAATAAGTTATATAGATAATCTGTTAAACCTTAAATAAGTTTTTTAAGTATTTGACAAAATGCTGCGCTGAGAAGGATCACTGTGGGAAGGCTCTGTGATGCTTGGAAATTACGTAATACACAAAACTCTTGTTGCTCTTCAAGATATGAAGTTAAACCATAACTTGTTTAAGACTTGAGAGACAATGGAGATGAAACAGCTTCCCAGTTTGGAAGCTGAGGCACTAGAGGCTGCATCAGATGTATGGTGGTGGATTAAAATTGATACTGCTGCCAATTGTCCCTTGCATCCCGACTCTTCTGTGACTTCTTATCTGATTCTGGCTTTTAGGTTTATTGTAGTACATTCGGCTGAAAATTTGTTTGCAAGACAAGTCCTGATCTAATTACACTCTCACCCCCCCCCCCCCCCAATTTTCCCTTTGTTGTGGATGGTGGTTGGGATTTCTAAATGATAGTTGTGTTTCAGTCTGATTTTTATTGAGTTGTAAGTTCCTGTGCATTAATTGTACCTTCTATATATGGTACTGTGCACTAGCTTAAGCAAATGACACTGTCATTTATCACTTGCAGAATTTTTTTGGCCTCCTCTAAGGGTAAGTGACACAACACTTAAGTAGTAATGTTGTGAAAGTAAAGAGTAAACTATTCTGAGAGGAAGGCCTTAGAAATAAAAATGATTACTTCAGCTTTTACAAGCTTGAAACATTTATTCTTATGTTACGTAAAACTCGCATGTATTACAGTGCTCCTTTTCTGCACAGATTTATTGTAGGGCTTCCAGCCTCTTTTCTTACCTTTTTTTTAATTTGTTGACCAGTTTGTATGACTGACTGGGTCACCTATAAGCCAAAACTCAGAAAATGGTGATTTAAGACATGTAATTGTCAGACATGTGACTCCTTTGCTGCTTTTGAATTGTCATTATCTCTATTGTGGATAGTGTCCACTTTTAAATATTGATAGATAAACCCATGGTTGTCAACTTTATCTTTCATGTTTGCTGCTCCGGCTGGTGTTTCTTTCCAAGGATGGGAAAGTCTGTGCAGGAGGAGAGGTTGAGACATTGAACGATTTCTGGAGGCGAGAGAGAATTCTGGAGACTAATCCATTGAGGGCTTGGCATGGGCCTATAAAACTCTTCTTTGCAGTTGAAAACTAGATGTGGATTTGACATCAGCTCAGGCTTCTGATCTAAAAGTTGCAGTTGGTTCTGTAGGTTCCCATCATGGTGAGTGAAGGGTCAGCTGTCACCCACACTGGACGCTAATCCTATCCTGTATTTTGAAGAGCCCTCTTCTGCCGCATGTGCGTCTGGATTTCTGCTTTCCTTAAGCTGGTTGAATGTTGTGCTCCACTGAGTCTAGATGCAATAGAGGGAAGGTGGATCAGGTCTCCTAGACTGTTTGTCATCTCCTCTTGTCTTGTGGAATGCATCATTATGATCAAGTAACCTGCTGCCTCCTCCATCCTCTGCACATTGCCTTCTCAATGCGAGCTTACAAAACAGAGCAAGAACCTTCTGACTCCTTTTCCTAGTATTTGCTAATGGGGACTGAATGAAACTTCTTTGCAAATTGAATCTGAGCAAAGCGCTGCAGGTTGGTAAAGGCTTGGAGATTTACTCCTATACAGGTCAAATAAAATATTTAAAAAATATCTGGAAGATGATTGTTATGCTATGTACGTTCAAGTGAGCCTGAAAGTTGCTTCCTGAAGCTTGTGGCGAGTTTTATCTTTTCCGTGCTGTTTCCAACTTGGCTGGCCTTGAGTGTAGAAAGCCAACGGGTGACAGGCTTCCACACTCTTGCGGTGGCATAATTCAACATCTGAATAAGTTGCATTAAGGAAAATTCTGGACTTTGTGTGGACTAACATAGCTATGGAGAGGTATTTAAGCACCTTGCTCTGTACTGCGAGGCATTTAAAGGGTAGTTTTTTGCCCACTTTGATATGCGGACGCATCTTTTTATCAAACAATTCTAGATAAAATCATAAAGATTAGAATACTGTTGTGTAGCTTTTCAGTTTTTGATTATGTTACATTAACTTTTTCTTTTCCCCCCAAGAGCGTGATGGAAAACTTTGAAAGAAGTTCTACAACCTCAGTGTCTTCAGTCTTTACTCCACCTATGAAATCCTTAGGCACACCAGTACAACCTGCAAATACTACAAGAATTTCTACAATGAGACCTCTTGCAACAGCATATAAAGCTTCCACTAGTGACTACCAGGTATTTTAAGAGGAGATAGCAAAGGAGGAGACAGCAAAAACCCCCTTGCTTAATTGAGGGTAGGCATATTAAAAAAAAGTTAGTGTGGCCCTAGCCTCTATCTTCTCCTGTCATTTCTTATAGCAAGTGGTAAAGAGGTGGTTTGAGTACAGACTGAATACATTCAACTGGTAAAATCGTTAAAAAAAAAAAAACGACTTATCACTTTTCAAGGAACTAGGGTTTTGTTACGAAACTTGCAAACATACTTTGGCAAAATATAGTAATGCTTAAAAAGATGATTTTACTGATACTGATTAGTATGAAGAGTTAACTACATGTTGATTGATTCTTTTTATTTTCTCTCTTCTTTCCTCTGCCTTCTAGGTGGTTTCTGACAGACAGACTCCTAGGAAAGATGAAAGTATTGTATCTAAAGCAATGGAGTATGTGTTTGGCTGGTAATAAACAAGAGGAAGTAACACACTAGGCATGGCTAGCATTTGAAATCTACTACCAGCATCCTTGGTTAGTTGTATAACCACTGATGGCAGTACTTTAACTTCCATCTCACCTGTTATGCCTTCTATGAATTCAGCAGACATGTAGCTTGCACTTTAAATGATGGCAATGTGCACACGGTTTTAAAAGTATAATCAGTGTAAATTTAAGTGCTTTTTTCCTGTTTATGCTTTGATTGCATGACTAAAGAAGAAACATCAGCACTGACTTCTTTCCCTGTAATTACCTCTTGTAAATTACTTTCCAGTAAGTTGGAGATGTTTAAAGTGGCAGCCTTATCTGCTGATGCATTTAATCTTATCGGCTTCCCCCCCACCCTGGAAGATGACGGGCTTTTTGCAGGAAGAACACTGTACAGCTGGTTCCCAGGGATAAGGATTGTTTTTAGTACATGTGATTTTAATTTTTTTATTTGGATTCCTTGCTGTTTTATAATTATCTCTGGCATCCTGTTCTAAATGTCATAACAATCTTTTAACTCTTTATCCTACGTTTTGTTAATAAAGCTAAATAAAATTCGGTCATCTTGGGTTATTTTTTAAACAAGTATAAGTTTTGTTAGGAAATAGTATTTCTGTTACTCTTACTAGAGTGGATTATGAGGCTGCTCAATCTTTATTATTGTTATTCTAAGAAATTGTTTCTGAGGTGTTGGCTGCATGCTGAATTTTTTTTTAGAATTGAACTTTTTCCCCCTGAAGCTCTTGAATAATTATGTGTGTCATGTGAACTCATGGTCTTAGACTGAGATAGCTTGTAAGAAGCTCTTTTATCTTGAAAAAGAGTAATTTTTTTCCTCCAATACATGGGAATCTACATGTAAGTAATACTTTTCTCTCATGATTTTTTTGTGTGGCTATTTTAGGATGAGTCAATATTAGAGTTTTATTTCGTATCAGGAGCGTGCTCCTGAAGTGAATCTCCAGTCATACCTACTTACCATGCTTTGGTTCAAACTGCAGTGTGGTCTCAAAGTTCATCAGCTGAACTTCTCTGATGAAATTAGATTGGAAGATTAGTCCAGGAACATGCCTAATGAGCTCCAAATGCTAATGGGCATTCAGTTTACAGGATTAAGCTAAAGATGGTCTAAGAAAAATACCAGATGTACTTAGTGAGGAAGTCAGGTCCTAAGCATCTGCTGTGGCTGGGCTGCACTACTTCCTATTGTAAGATGCCTTGATTTGCTATGGCAATGCTCCTTATGTTTGTAAAGGGAGGGAGGAGATAAAAACACCCTGGAGAGACATGATCATATTTATTGGGGGTGTAGTGGTAAACTTCTGCAATTTACTTCTGAGTAGGGTTTCGTAGGAAAATTGTGATGCGATTGCTCTTTATTTTCTTCAATTTTTCTGCAACTGGCTGGAGTTTGGAGCCTAAGAATCTGAACTAGCCTGGTGATATTGGGTTTTTAAATGAGATCAGATGAATTATGACAGTCTAGGTGAGAAGGAGGAAGGCTGACTGAAAAGGAGGAACTGTGATCTAATAGAGTTTCTTTGGGGAACTAGGAGAAGTAGGGCAAGTTGCACAGTCCCACAAGAGGTGGGGCATGCTCCAAGGTATGTTTCCAAGTTTTGTTTCCTTGCTTACTTCCTTTGGACACACGCATTCACATTAAGTGCATAGAAATATGTATGTTTACACATGGAGAACTCCAGCCAGTCCACAGCTGTGAAAGATGCTTCTGAGATGTCAAACTTTGGAAGTCAGTGCAGAGATCTTTGAATCTAGCAGACTATACTCTTCTCCATTAAATCACTTACCAGTAGTGGTAGGGCATATCATAAACCCATTAGCTAGATGCAGGTTTGGTTAAATGCCTGTTTGCATGAAATGCAAGTAAATATATTATGGCCTGCAGTTGTCTGCACTGTCCTTGAGCACTTCAGTCATACTGTCTTTAAGTATGAAAGCACCATACTCATGTCTGTCCTGCATTGTACTAAAGCTAATTGGTCCTCAGTATCAGCAGGACTTGTGGGCTCAAGTATAGCACTATGCTGTACTGTTTCCAGTTCTGCTAACTTGTCCCCTGCTACCTCAGGGCCCTTTGTACTCTACTCTATGATGTAGAAGTAGCCTATGCACAGGCAGATTCAGAGTTCTGTTTGAGGTGCTGGCTGATGCTGTATTAAGAATTGCCTTTTAGAATGAATGCTAGTTGTTACTTATCTGTTTGCTGTTGATCAACAGCTGCTCAAACCTAACTGATAGTCAAATATATTTACTCAGAATACACTAAGGTGGTTCATCTACATTTTTCTTCTGCTAGTCGCTTTGCAAAATATAATTCTGGTGTGCTTGAAAGTTATATTGTGTGTAGGATTTAGTTACTTGAATTCAAGTGGTCAAGAATGAGATTGAACTTGGATCAAGTAAGGCTGATACTGAATGTATAAGAAAGGAGTTAGAGCCCAGGTCCTTTGTTTGTTGGCTAAACTGTCGTACTAGTAAGTACCAGACTTAAAGCTGTGCTCGTAAGTGCCACTTATTTACTTTAGTCTCCTGTTTGTCATGCAGTCTCTTGTTTGTCTTAGCTTTAGGAGTTAGTGTTCAGGAAGCTGCAAGAAAAATAAGAGCACTTGGGGTTCGTGTGTGTGTGTTCACTTAATTATAAAGGTAGTGAATGAGGAGAAGGAAGTTTAGAACAGGTGAATCTGTGTACTTCTGTACAACAGTATTCAGTAATGCTCTTCATATGGCTTCTGCTGGTGAAGGTTCTCCTCAATATATTTAGTGTCATACACTAGGTAAGCCCTAGTCTCACTGGTAATTCAGGTTCAGCGAGTGTATGAATGCTAGTCTCGCCTCGCACTGCACAAACTACTGTACAACTTTAATTTGGTGTGTTCCTGATGTGTCTTTGTTAACTAAATGAGAGTACAGGGGCCATGTGTGAATGGCCATGGAAAGACTCAGAAGTACATGTGTGAAGAACATCTATCTGCAACACTTGGATGTCTGCAAGTAAACTCTTTCAAGGCTGGCTACTGGGGGTAGGTAGCATTGCATTTAAAAACTCACTTCTTCCTGTTTGTTAACAATTTGTATGCTGCTCTGCAGTAAGGAAAAATGCTATGCTAACTGTTGTTAAGGATATGATTTACATTAAAACCAAAATCAAGGACTTCAGCTTGTTATGGGTAACATGCTCATGAAACTCAGTCCTGTTTTCAGTTGTATGGGACATGTAAGATTGGACACTGCATTTTTTATAGGAATGTGGCCTTTAAAATAGAACTTTCTTTCTGCCTCAACCACTAGCAAGTTACTTGGGGATTTAATTCACTTCTCTCAATATCAAAATCTGTACTATTTTAAATTCTAGGAGGATCTGTTGTGGTGTTTTTATGGTAATTTCATTACAATTTTAACTGGCATATTTTTTCGTAAAGGCTTTTTTTTAAGACAAGTAGATAGTGCTTATTTTCTCCCTCTTCTTTCCTGCCATCCCTCCTCGATTTAGCTTTCTAGTAACTTTGAGAAATGTGTATCTGGGTAATGTGTTTATAAAATGTGGGTCAAATGTTAAGAGTGTAGCATGTTTGCTTCTCTAGCTTAAACTCTTATTTCAAGTTGCAGGCATCTATCTCCACCTTGTGGCAGTTCTTTAGAATTCTTTAGTTACTGGGCTTGTAACTACCTAACTGGTACTGTATGGGATGCAGTATCTTAGTACTTTGTCTAGGCAGTGCGTAAATGATACTATGAGAGAACAGTAGTGCTCGAATGTTGTTTTTAGTCAAAGTGCTTTTGTAGTTAAAGAAAGAACAAAGATGAGTTCACAAAATATAGTTACAACATCATTTAGAAATAATTCAAACTTCTAAATGCTGCTTGAATAAATCGTTCTTAAACTTTATTAAAAATGTTATCAGTATTTACTCATTTCCTTTCCATTTTGAGATGGATAAACTGAACATGTTTTAGCAGAAAATGAAGTAAAAATCATTTTGCATAAATGTAATTGGCTTTTTTCTAGTACTGTCTGAGTGCGTGCATAAAAAGACAACTCGCATGAGTTTTCTCCTATTTGGCCATAGAGGTCTAGAGCACAGATGAATCCACAGAAATGTATTGCTTTAAATGTTTTAAAAATTGTAAGCTCCCTTACTGTTCATTTGATAAATTAAAAACAAAGCAAACTGGCTTGCAACAACTAAGATTAAGCAGTTGATTTACTAAATTTCAGACTGAAGATGAGAAGGCACTAGAATAAACATTCTACCTCTAGCAAAAACATTAATCCTTAGGCAACTCTGGCTTCTTGGCAATGCTGCGTTTTCTTTTTTCAGTTGTGTGGGCAAGGGTAAAAGGTGTTCTTTTGATGTGATGGTGTGTCTCATGGTGAGTATCAAAGTGCAAACAGTTCTGACTGTCAAACTTCTGTTAATGTTTACAAATGAGAATTCAGCATTCCAGGAGGAAAAACAGGTATGAGTTTAATAATAATGAAGCAAAAACTGGCAGTGACAGCTTGATGGAACATCTTAAGTTAATGAAGGGACATTTAGAAATAAATGCATGCAAAATTTTAAAATATTTTTAGTCTTATGTTTAAGAAGTCCTTCAATTCAGTTACATTCTTGTCTAATGTGTATACATTGTGTTTCCATCAATAATCCTATCTTCCACTTTTTTTGCAAGTAAAACTCATGTTAAAATGAAAAACATTAGTCTGAGAAAAGCTGTAATTCGTACATCCTCTTTAATGTCCTCAAATATTTTCACTATTATTCAAGCTCCTCAGTTTTATAAGTGAGGATATATAGCTTAAATAAGGAGTTTATTGCTGATGTAAGCAGATGCTGGTCTCTGTAGATGAAGCACTGTTTTTTGTTCAAATACCAGTCCTTTTGTGCATGGAGGTGGAGAATCTCTTATCAGAAACAGCATGAAAGTCAAGAATTGCTTGGAACCGTTTTTATTTGCTCAACTGTTCATCACGCTTCGGTTATATTTGGTTTCATGAGATTTCAGTATAGTTTACTGCAGAAATCTTCCGAATGTCTTGTTCATTGTAGGGATGACTTTAATTTTCAGTAGGAAAAATACAGAACTTTTCAATGACATTGTATTTTTTCCCTCTCCGTGTGTGTCAGCCACCTAATTAGCATCTTGTTTAGCTGCCATTGGAGCCCTTTGTGTTCTGTGAGAATCTGTCCACTGCTGCAGAACTATGTTCCAAAAAACACCATATTTTTTTCTTGTTTTGGAGGATCTTTCCAAACCCCTACTGTTAAGAAAGTAACCTTGAAAGCGTGAGGCAAGGGTGAGCTGACAGACAGATGCCTGTGGAGACCCTGAAAACAATAGTTCTGGAGTTTGGATTATCCACTTAATCTCAATGGATTACTTGTTTTCAAAACTAAAGATAGACAAAATATTTTCTTCTAAATTAGTTATCAGATAAAGCCCTTTAACTGAATATTTTAGTGGCAGCCCAGACTGGCTCTTCTGAGTGCTAGCATGCTAACTGGTTTTTGCCCCTTTGCCAAAACTCCCACTCCTCAC